TTTATTGAAGAAGCATAATACTGTGTTCAATTTTTCTTTTATATACATGATTGATATGTATGCGTATGTTATCAATTAAGAACATTTTTGTATATGAAAATATATTATCTGAGCATCATCTGTGAAGCAGTGTTTAATCACTTACTAATTTACAATATATTCGTAACAGTTTATCTTTTTTTTTAACGCAGAAATTAAAAGAACTTTAAATAACAATCAGATTAGAAAAATTGAATAATGTACATATGAAGTAACAAGAGCTAAGATTTTGACCTTCAGCTTCTAACATTTCAAATTGTTGTACAAAACAACCTTTTCACGTCGATTTATTGATAATATTATCGACTTATTGCTAATAATTGTATTACATCCTTACCTACCACAAATCAAGTAAACCTCAAGCAGACATGTGGTTAAATCTTACGTTCTTTTTATTAAAGATCCGCAAAAAAGTTGGAGGCATTATCGACTTTACTGCTTGGAAGGTTGTGTTTTAATTGTTTCTGTTTTCCGCCTTTCACACGATTACTAACATTTAAAGCTTCAAAATACTTTACATTCCAAAATTTGATATCATTATTATGCGAAGAAGATGCAATTAAAGTTCCATCACTATTAATATCAAGAGTTTCAATAGAAAGTTGATGTTGTCCTACTATTCCAAGATGATGATGAGGAAACAAACTGGTTGCCCTAATCATTAAAATAACAAATATATATATATATAACATTTTACTTAGTACACCTAACTAAAATATATGTTAAACACTAAATTATATCTTACCTAAGTATGCCATCTTCTCCTCCTGTTACTACAACATTTTCAGTCATTGGAATCATGCAGTTTATAGCTTTTTTAGTTACATTTGGGAATTCATCTGAATGAATGCCAAATTCTCCCCAATTATACAAATACATTTTTCCTGTACTTGTACCCACCAAAATTTTCGTTTCAGATTTAAATAAACCAAGACATGTCAATTCCTCACCATATTCTTCTGACTAGAAAAATTATTACATTCAAATATACAATTATATAATATTCAATACATACTTATACTTACTTGAACATGTAGCTTCTTTCCTGGTATGTTAAATGTAGTGAGCGACCCATCCCCACTTGCACACACTAAATATTTTGCATCTGTATGTGTTACTATAGCACTTACATAATCTTCCATTTTTTTTATTGAAAATATAGGTACATTTCCCTTTTGTCTAAGGTCCCATACTTAAATATTTAAGAGTAAATATAATTAAAGATAAAAACAAAAAAGGGAAGATTATAAATGAAATATACCTTTTACTACACCATCATCATCTCCAGTTGCAAACATATTTTCTCCAATTACAGTCATTGTATATATTGGTTCCCTAAAATAAATAAAGTATTAATCATATAAAATCCATAATTTTTATTTAGTTTAATCCATAGCGATTGTATACATACTCATGTGCATTTTCATAAAATCTTATTAACTTTTCAGTTTGAATATCAGTGAGCATTATACATAAATCTTTAGCAGTGGAAAATAAAGTTGTACCACTTTCATTAAATTCTACATCGCGACATGCTTTAGAATGTAATTCTAAAGTTGATACCAATTCTGTGTCTGTGCTGCTATATTTATATCTAACACGTAAAAAAATTATATATTTCTTAACTATTTAGTATTGTTTATATTATATTAATTATGTAATGTTAATAAATGTAAAATTTACAAGTACACATCTCCTACAATATTAGCTACAGCAATTATGTCTGAACTAGGATGGAAACATATATCTACTACATGGTCCTCTGTTGTAATAGGTGGAGGATGATTGGTATTTGCATTTTGTGACCTAATTATTGCTTTTATAACTTCATCTTCTTCCTCATTTTCATTTAACAAAATTGGGTCTGTACCATTACCTTTAATAATAAATATACCTGTTGCTTGTTTATAATATTATAAGTAACAACACACATATACCACCATACTAAGTTTTATTAATTAAACAGTTTAATTAAGTTTAAATTATTTAAATATCAAATTGCATATAACTTACTTCCATGAGCAGAAATCTGATTGTTGTTTGGATTAGAACATTCTGCATTATTTTCACTTGCTGTATCATTACTACTCAAACTATCTTCACTTGTGAATGATTGTGAACTATAATCACTATTATCACTATCTAGACCATTACTCTCACCACTGTCAATTGTAAAATTGTCTGAAAATGATGTGTATTTAATTAGAAACAAAAAGGAATATCTAACAAATATAAATAAATTAAACATCCAAAAATTAACAGTATTAAAGAGTAACAATATTGCGGGTTGAAAGTTTATTTTATATTAACATAATACAATGATGTACAAATCTATTTTATTTAAGAGAACATACCTAAATGCATGTTTAAAAGTGTAAAATATCCCACAATTTCTAACCCTCTTTATCATATCATTCAAACACTTCTATATGGTAAAGCTTCTGAATCGCACGAAAATGATAAATAAAGGTTAAAATTCCCTATAAATTACAGTCGCTGGAATACAAGATATATGTTTGTTTTTAAATTGGAGGTTATTTTGAAAACATTTTATTTAATACAATTTGTGAAAATATTAATAAATTTTGTAAATTATTTGAAAAATATGAGATTTAATAATATTGTGTAAATATTACCTTAGAGCGATTGATTTTTCTACCTGAGAGGGCGTCATTGTAAGTAAAAGCCCGCCATCGAGTTTCTTATCTAAATTGCAGTAATTGCAACCAGTGAAGTATGTAGCATGGTGGACCATGGCGCTACACTGTTTAAGAAAGATATATTTTCATAAGATATAAAAACGATTTCTACGTGTAGTTGTTCATACTTGAATAATTTTAACATGGAAACTCGGACGAACGAGCTATTAACAACTGGTTCTATAGCGACTATTAAAGAAGAACCGCTTGATCAAACTGGCGCGAAGCAAGACATGCAACAATCTCAAGTACAGGGCGTTTGCATTGAGGAAGAGTGTGAACAGCGTATTGAATGTACAACTGAGGGCCAAGAGAATGAAACGCGTGCATTTTTATCAAAATGTGTGTTCTGTGGAAAAACATTTACCTTCGGTGACGATCCGAAACTTTTAGAATGTTTACATGCTGCATGTTCGACATGTGTCAATAATAAACTCAGCGATCATAACACATCAGTCGACGTGGATGTTTTG